TCTTCAGAACAGTGTTTTAGTAGAATTTTGGAATTTTCCACAGAATGGATCATTTGAATTTTTTTTAGCTTTGTTCATACCTCACCCACTGTCCCCCAAATGCTATTCTGCTCTCACATAGTATGCTATAGGAATGGTTTAAATTGTATCAACTCTTAAGAAAAATAATTTGAAAATAAAATTTGAACCCAAGTATGCTAATATTTACCTGGTCAATTAAGTGAATTCATGAATTTATAGTTTCCTTTACTAAATGCTGATATTATGTTGATGTGATAGTGCTTTGTACAGAGATATAACCCTGAAGCTGCTGCTTCATGTGCAGATGCTACTGGGAGCCCCTAGGCTGTTTCAAATGCTCTAATTCCAACATTATAACATAGTTAACCAACTACAGAAATTCCAGTAAAACAAATGATGTCTACTGTGCAGCAATAAATAGTTACAGCTCAAGAGCGCCTTTTAGTGTATAGTTTTTACACTATTTTTAACATCCCTCTCATTAGGAGGAGGGGAGGAAGGAATAAAGCATGTGAATACTGTTAACTCAGTTTGTCTTCATAAAGGAGAAGTTTGCTTTCTCATTTCTCTCCTTGCAGTTAATGGAGGTTATGAGTAGATTTGTGAGGTATTAGTTGGAAGTTAATCTTTCTTTTCTTGCCCTTTCTTCTTCAACTGATTTGCTCTTGTGAAAATACTAAATGGGTTTTCAATTTGTGACATAAGATGGTGCAGGTAATTGTCATAACTCTTTGGAATGGAATTCTACAACCTTAGGCCCTCTATACAAACTTCTCTGGGAAGTATCACCTTTGTCATACTTTTTTGTAATTTCAAAATAACCAGTAGCTGTCCCTGAAAGACCAATTACTCTGTAGGTATCTGGGACCCTGTTCCATTTTATAGTTTTGCAGATCCTGACTGTGGTCTTCGATTTAACACGGTGTTTTCTGGACAGTCAGCTTCATGTTTACAGTTTCCTCTGTTGTTTTGTAGATGGGGTGCCTTGTGCTCTACCAGGTGGATTTAAACTTCCAGTTGTCATTTCTAAGTATAGTGCATTAAGTAATCCACAGTCTCCATCTCTGAAGCTTGGATCATGTTGTTTGGGTCTGTAGCCATTCATTAGCCAAAGGAAAAAGATTTGCTTTTTCTTTTCTTTCTTTTTTTTCTTATGAGGGGCAAGTATTTTTGGTGATATCTTTTAATGGGCTAACTATGTCATGGGGAGATGTCAGACAAGTTTTTCCCCTTCCTCAAGTCAGAGAGAGTAGACACCACTTGAGCTAACAGATAGAACAAACGGTTAATATTATTCCATATGTAAATGACAACTGTTTGCTTAAAGGAATGGAGGAGGACTGTAAAGCAAAGAAAGCAAAGAAATGTTGGTACGAGTGGCTACATAACAAGAGAAATGCAGTAGAATAGGTAACCTAGAATCCCAAAGGAAGTCAGCAATTCAGAATATTTGAAGTTTAAAAATTGATCTTAGACTGCATTATATACAACAAAAGATCATTTTTTTTCTTCACTCATCTTCCTCAACTTAAAAAAATTAAATATACTGCCATTAGATACATGTTGGAGATGCAGTGGATCATGTTTTGATCATGCCCTATTATCAGTTATTTTTGGAAAGTAATTATAACTAGAATTAACATGGTTTTAAACAGCATGAATACCTTTGGCAACTGTGTATTCTTGAGCACATACCTAAGGAATTTAAACTGAATCCTTCCTACATTTTACTCTTATGGGAGACCTTATTACTGACACACAGGATTATAGTGCTGCATTGGAAGAATAGGATATCTCCAAAGGTGAAAACTAGTATAGTGAGATGGTGCAGCTGGCATCTATCAAAAGTCATGGGTAGCAGGTGTTCTACTTCCTGTAGAATAGAGAGAGGCTGGCAGAGACCAGGGAAATTGTAATGAGCCATTAAAACTTTATATGTGTTTAGTATTGTTTACTGACCGTTAGAGGTAACGATTTTTGTTCCCACCCCATTTTCTGAAGGTATTTTACAGTTTTCCCTTGAATACAGGGGCTGAGGTCAGAAATTAAGAGGTTGCTCAGTGAAGTTTTCTCCCACTGGTTTTTTGGGCATTTCTGTCCTTTATCGTTTTCCTGTTTGTTCTGGAGCATGTTGTTTAATTTCACCCTTGTAGCCTCCACAGTGGCATTTGGCACATTGGATAAGATGTATCAGTTTGGTAGACATGTAGGTTCCATGGATTCTGATAGTTTCACTGTGGGATGATGTTTATGATGCTGACATAAATATGTTAAAACGTTTTGCATTTGTTGTTTAGGCAGGATCATGTTCTTCTTGGTGTTTGTTGATCAGTGCGGAGTTGCTCAGCTTGGTGTTTCCTTCTGATGACGAGTTCAATGAGGTTTGAAGGCAAGGAGCAAGGGGGTTGAGAATATTTCTTTCAAGTTCTGATATTTTTTGAGTTTGGGCTGTAATTGTTTGGTGATCCTTTGTATAGGTTCCACTGTAGATAATATGTGATAACTAATGTTCTGCATTCTCAGTTTTTATTTAAAAAAAAAATATGGGAATTTTTCAGGGTTTATCTTCAAAACATAAAAACCTGGATGATATTGGGATAAAAGAAAGAAAAGGAAAAATTTCAGGTTAAACTAGGTGAAAATCAGCAGTGAGGGAGGCTGGAACTAGGAAAGGGGTGGGGGAGGGGTGGGGGTCCATCGGCCACTCCTGGGGCTGCAGCAGAGAGCAAAGCACAGGGAACTGTCAGTAGGGGCAGGACGGCACGGCTCAGCTCGGCTCAGCTCTTGCTGCTGTGTGTCCCCCAGGAGGGCTGGGGGGCTGTGCCAGGCTTTTCCCATGGGGCTTGTGATCCCAGATCTGTGCGCAGTATGAGAGCAGGCTGCTGCCTGCCTGAGCATCAGGAAGAGCCTGGTCCCACCACCAGCCCCGGCCTGCAGGGAGCAGCGCCAGGCTCTCCTGCTTGCCCCGCCTCACAGGGGCTCACAGCTCCCAACACCCAGGGCAGGGCTGAAGCCGGAGCTGCTGGGGTGGAGCTCGGACCTGCCTGTCCCAGGAGCGATTCCCGTGGCCTGGCCTGGCCTGGCCTGCCCTGCCCATGGTCAGAGCTGGGAGCCCCGCACCCTCAGGCAGCAGCTCCAGCCACCCTCTTTTGGCCCCCACGCAGCCACCATCATCCTCCTCCCACCCGCTCCACATGCGGCTGCTGCCCCTTCCCCTCCCCCCCCATCCGACTGGAAACCTGTGCCACAGGTAATTGGCACAGCACCACTTTTAGCTTACTGGCACCACCAGTTTTTCAGTTTAAATCCCCATTAACTGGCATGAGTGGGGAATGGGCCATTCCCCATTCGTGCCAGTTAACAGGGATTTGAACTGAAAAATGGGTGTAAATCGGTAAAAACTGAATGACTTAAAAAATCAGGGGATTTATCAGTGAAAATTGGTAAAAACTGAGAATGTGGAACACTAGTGATAACTAAGGGTGTGTTGTTAGTGCGTGGTGGGGGGAGGTTCTTTTTTGTATTGCAGCAGGTTATTGAGGGACATCTAGAGGTTTCTGCAAAGATATGGTCTATTTCTCCAATGGAATGTCCTTTTTTGGTAAAGGTAGTTTTCAGATTATTCTGGGTGTCACAAATGTTCTCTTCAGAGCAGATGCAGCGGTATCTGAGGGCTTGACTATAGACCACAACTTTCTTAGTAAGTCTGAGATGATTTCTGGTTTTGTGGACCTAAGTATAGTGGTCAGTGGGTTTTTTGTATAAAGTGGTTTGTAACATATACTAGAACATCCAGACCATTAAAAATGATAGAGCACTTGGATCCACCTTGGAGCTGGGGGACTTTAGCAACTTTCAGCAGTGAGGGGTCTTGGCCTATGCTTTATCTGCTCTTCTGGGAGCTCCCTGTACTATGTCATGGCTGGGTGGCAGGGAGAAACCATGGCCGTGTCTTAGCACCAGGTCACCAAGAACTGAGCTGGGTCCTTCTGGCCCTTTTACTGGAAAAAAACATTGTTGACTGCTGCTCTAGGAATCTCAGCTCCCTTGCTGCCTTTATTTGGCAATTTTCTGTAGCTGGGAAACTGACAAACCTAGTTAACCCATCCACACATCACGTGGGCAATCAAGGAAATGGCAAATCTGACAGGCAGGGTGCCAGGCAGAACAGGGAGCTAGCAGCCAGGACAGTGGAAACATTCTGATGTTTTCAAAATGAAACAATTCAGAATACTAGTCCTGAGGGGGAAAAAAAAAGATGCTTGACTCTCTTCCTCCCCCTGCCCCCTTCCAATTTCTCAGTCAGCTCTTTTCTTTACATTATGTAAGCTAGGGCTGTTCAACTTGTGGCCCACTGAGAGGTCCATGTGTGTGTGTCCTGCAAAAAAACAGTATGTGGCTGGCAGGCCCTTGCAGCTGCCTCTCTTGCTGCTGCGTGGTGGGGGAAGCCCTGCAGGGAGGAGAAGGCCACATACTGACAGGGCAGCCCAAGGGGCTAGGAGGGATCTAGGGGGAGAGGCCACTCACAGCATGTGGTCAATGCAGTGCGCATCCCCCAGCTGCATCAGAGTTGGATGACTCTGATGTAAGCTATTCTTTAGCAGAAAAAAATGTATTCAAACCGTTTTCAAGTTTCTAAATTGATTTCATATTGATATTTGATTTTTGGCAATATCTACTTAAGATAGCCCAGCCCCTCTGTAAAAATAAATATCAGCAAATCACAGATCAGGAAGTGCAGAAGTGTTGTGCAATTCTAATATATAAAACTATTGTAGTATCTGGTATAAAGGGCCTATAAAGTCAACAGTCCCTAAACGTATGCGGTACCTTATTTGCATCATGAATGTGACACAAAATGAACTGATACCCTTACATAATACTTACAAATTTTTTTTCGGTTTGGATTTTCTTTGTTCGTTTTAGCAAAAAAATAAGAGCATGTCTTTACTTAACATAATCTTATTTTAAACTTGCAGGTAATATATGCTTTGAACACTAAAAATGATGAACATGAAGCTGCCATTCAAGCTCTTAAGGATGCTCATGAAGAAGAAATCCAGCAAATTCTTGCAGAAACAAGAGAGAAGATCTTGCAGTATAAGAGTAAAGTTGCAGAGGAAATAGATCTTAAGAGAAAGATCCAGGTTTTGGAAGAGTCATTGGAAGATCATAAAAAGATGAAACATCAAGCTTTGACAGAGTTTGAAGCTTACAAGGATAGAGTTGAAGACATGCAGTTATGTGCAGAGGCCCAGCATGTCCAGCGTGTAGTAACCATGTCAAGAGAGGTAGAAGAGATTAGAAAGAAGTTTGAGGAGAGGCTGCGTAGCTTCATACAGTTGCAGGTACAGTATGAGAGAGACAAACGCTCAGCTCTGGACGATTTGAGAGCAGCACACAGACTAGAGATCCAAGAGCTTCTGAAGACGCAACAGAATCAAAATGCTACTTTAAGTAAAGGGCAGGAGAAGCTAGAGGAGTTGCATAGGCTGGAACTAGAAGATTTAAACAGCAAAGTTGAAGAGCTAAGATTGGAAAGGAAAAAACTCATTGAGGACTATGAAGGCAAACTCAGCAAAGCTCAGTCTTTTTATGAACATGAACTTGATGCTTTGAAAAGATCCCAACTCTTTACAGCTGAAAGCTTGCATGTATGTAAAGAAAAAGAAATGGAGCTAAGAAAAGAGTTTCAAAACCAAGAAGCTATTTTACGTAAAAACCTGGGAAAACTGAAGACTGAATTGCAAATGGTGCAGGATGAAGCAGCTAGTTTACGAGAAAAATGCCAAAAGCTTCAAGTAGCACTTGGTACAGCAGAAAACAATGTTCAGGTAAGACAGTTCATTGTTTTTAAAAGTTCCAGTACATTTATACATGTTAGATTTATACATGTTTCTACTATAGTTCAAAACCAGTGACTAGCGTAGCCCTGGAAGTTCAAGCTTTTGTACCTAGTACTTGGCTGGCTGTCCATCTTTCAGATACCTTACTGATAAATTCTGGATCTATCAAAATATTAATGAACACTTATTGGCACTGAGATAAGCTTCTGGGTCCCATTGTGTGCTAAGCTCATATGTGCCATCTTAGATATATGCATACTATTAACCAGAATGGATTTGGGTTGGGTTGTTTAAGCCCCCCATTCTAACTGCTCAATAAGCTATAGGATTAGGAGTACCCAAAGGTCTGTTCCTAGTTAAAGGGAAGACAATTAAATGATTGTGCAATAGCTGAATCACATACCCGAACTGGGGTTGGTTGTTGTTGTGTTTTAAAGAAAAAAGGTGAGCGAAAAACTCTGGGGAGAAGATAGAGAGGAGGTGTGTGGCTGGTACAACTGGAATTTCATTCTGGAGAAACTGGTATTGTTGCTAGGAAATTATGGTAACTGCTAAATTAGTCTGTAGTTTGAAGACCTGTATGCGTGTAAGGACTTCACAAACGTGACTAGGCCTTTAAAATATTGGAATCATAAAAAATACTCTATTTTGGTCTATAGCTGAACTACAAGAACAGGTATTCCCATTTTACCACTTTGTAATTGTATTTTTTGGTTTGTGGCTGCCTGCCATTATCTAATATTTAATTAAAGTGTGTTGGCTATTTCTAAGAAATATATAATTCGATACAGAGAAAATAGGAAAAGACATTCTCTGGTGTGAACATATGACCTATGAACCAGTCTTCCTTGCATAAACATCTTAGATGCATACACATGCTACATGAAACATTCACAAATACTGTACACATTTTCAGAGAGTTGTCCTGGTACTGTGACCCAAAGTAACCCTTAAAGGAGGACATGACATCCCAGAAACATGAAGGAGGTGTTTGGGGACCAGAGGGAAAAAAGGTTTATTTTATGATGAGAGGAATAGGGCTTCAGGTATTGACATTAAGGGGAAATAATTCTTTTCAGACTTTGTCCTCTGGGGAAAATAACTTGAGAGAGCCTACCGCAGTGTTATGATGGCATTCTAACTCCAAAAGAGTTAGACTGGGATCCATATTATATCCCATCGTGGAAAAATTCATGGTAAAAGCTAGTGTTGACGTGAAGTTATTGCTGTGATGGTCCCCTTGTGTGAAAGGCAAGAATTCTTGTGGCTGATATCTTTTATTGGACCTGCTGTATGGTTGGTTTAGATATAGCAAGCTTTCAGTTATTCACAGTACCCTTCCTCAGGCCTCTGAAACAGAAGCAGACACAGCTGAGCTAAATAGCAGATGGAACAAAAGCTTGTTAAGTAGGGTCATAATTACCTCTGAAGTGTGGAGGTTAGTGAGTAACAGGAAGATTATAATGGCCCATGAAGTCATTGTTTATGTTAAGTCCCTGATGCAAAGTGCAAAATTATGCCATAAAATATTCTTTTTGCTAGTTCCTCATATAAGCTGGTAGCTCATCAATGGAAAAAGACAGAGAAGGAGAAAGAACTGTATGTATTATCAGATCACAGGGTAACTCTGATCCAAAATGATGCAGCCATAGAAAAGGCAGATATGTTGTAGGATTGCATTTTAAGAGAGATAAGGAAGTATTAATGCCATTATACAAATCTTAGTCTGGAATACAGTCTTCAGGTCTGGTTACCCTTGTTCAAGAAAGTCATTCAGACTAGGGAAATAGAGATTCTATCTTATTATGACAGAGAGGCTAAAAGAGGTTGGTTTGTTTAGTCTTGCATAATGAAGTTTAAGGGGGGGGTTATGATTGCTTTTTATAAATATTTCAAAAGAGTAAACACAAGGAGGGGAAAAAAGCCTTTAACTAAAGGAAAATGTCACAATAACAAACTGATATAAATTGGTCATAAGTAAATTAAGGTTGTAAATTAGGGAGAGGTTTTTGTCCATCAGTAAGGTTTCTAGAATAATCTTGTGATAGTAGTCAGGACAAAAGCCCGAATTATTTTTAAGAGGGAGTTTGATAAATGTATTAAAGGGATTATATATTACCAGATTGATTGGACTCATAAGGTATTTTCTCCTGATCAGGGGAGATGGGGAGGCTGAGGGCAAGATACAGCAAAGAAAGGCAATTTAGAACCTGAGCCACGTCTAAAGAAGGTTTCATATCTTTACCCTGTACATTAGGGGCGTGCAAAGCTTTGGTTGCCGTTTTGATTCAGAGAAGATTTGGCTCAATTCGGAGGCTGAATCACCGAATCTGAATCAAATTGGGAGACCAAAAAAACCCTCCAAATTGATTTGGAAAAGTTTCAGAAAAAGATTTGGAAGGCAGTCTTTCAAGGCAACAAACTGAGAAGTGGGAGGGGGAGAAGGGGGGGAAGACTGACATCTGTAGCTGTCCAGTGATTGTGATCTTTCCAAGTCTGCGTCCAATCACAGTGCTCTGGGGGATGAACGTAGAAACTTCATAGACTTCATAGGCATTAGGGCTGGAAGGGACCTCGGAAGATCATCGAGTCCAGCCCCCTGCCCAAAGGGCAGAAAGTCAGCCGGGTTCATAGGATCCCAGCAAGATGAGCATCCAGTTTGCTCTTGAAGGTGTTCAATGTAGGCGCTTGAACCACCTCCGGTGGCAGGCTGTTCCAGACCTTGGGGGCTCGGACAGTAAAGAAATTCTTCCTTATGTCCAGCCTGAAACGGTCTTGTAGTAGTTTATGACCATTCGACCTAGTCGTCATCCCTTGGGGTGCTCTGGTGAACAAACGTTCCCCCAGATACTGGTGGTCACCCCTGATAAACATAGGTGGCCATCAGATCACCCCTGAGCCTGCGCTTTTCCAGGCTAAAGAGCCCCAGGGCTCAGCCTGTCGTTGTAGGGTCTGCTTCCCTGACCTCTGATCATGCGCGTGGCTCTTCTCTGGACTCTCTC